ACCGTTATCGAATGGTCCTAAACAAGGGGTCTAGACCTTGACCTAATGGTTCCAACTGGCCAAACAGCATCATCCTAGGACTTTTGGTTAGTGAAAAGATGTTGCTTAAAGGTTTTAAACATATTTGACCCCTGTGACCTTGAAAATGGGTGAAGGTGATTTGTTTGAACAAACTTGGTAGCCCTTCATCCAAGCATGATACTGGCAAAATATCATCACCCTTAGCCTTTTAGTTACTGAGAAGAAGTTGTTGAAAGGTATTTAACATAGTTGATCCCTGTGACCTTGAAAATAGATGAAGGTCATTCATTTGAACAAACTAGGTAGCCCTTTATCCCATCATGCTACTGGCCAAATATCATTAGCCTAGGCGTCTTAGTTATTCAGACGAAGTTGTATAAATATTTGTTAAGACAATTGACCCCTGTGACCTTGAAAATAAACGAAGGTCATTTATTTGAACAAACTTGGTAGCCCTTTATCCCAGCATGCTACTAGCAAAAAAATCATCACTCTGGGCATTTTGGTTATTCAGAAGAAGTTGTTTAAATTTTTTAACATATTTGACCCCTGTTACCTTGAAAATAGGTGAAGGTCATTTATTTGAACACATTTGGTAGCCCTTTATCCTAGTTTGCTTCTGGCCAAATATCATCACCCTAGGCCTTTTGGTTATTAAGAAGAAGTTGTTTAAAGTAAAATATTGACGACGGACGACGGACGACGAACGACGGACGGACGGACGACGGTCGCTGCAGCATGGCATAAGCTCACTTGGCCCTTTGGGCCAGGTGAACTAATAACCCAATATGGTAAGTACATCACAGTCAACAGTAAGGGAGATATGACACTGCCAGTAACCCTATCGTTACCCGTCTTTGGCAGTTGTCAAACCATCAACTACAAGAGCTATGAGAGGCATACTGTCAAAAAGGGATTGTCAAATGTTAGTTCATACCCGAAATTGTACTTTGTTTTGCAAATTGCTATGATGTAATATTTTAAAATCTAATTTATTTTTTGTGCGTCAGTCACATTTGTCAAAAAATTAGCTAATAAACTAGTTTGAGAATTGTACGAAATTAATATAAAATACGTTTGCGATTTCCGTATTGATTTATTTTTGGTAAATGAATTTTTCTACTGAAGTATTATAATTTTATATTTATCTTGGATTCACAGAACTCTTTGTTTCATCATTCAAAAAAGAACTTTTACTACTACAATCATTTCTAAAAAAAAATGTGATTTCGTAAATAACCTGCGAGTTGTTTTAAAAAAAGTGTTTTTTATAAATAAGATCAATATGTTAAAAAATTGCAGCAATCAAACGTAATATAAACGTGGTTTCTAAAGCATAACAGTTTGTTGAAGTCGCCTAAACGAATACATACTCGGTCGATATGTTTTTCTTGTGTTGATAAAGTCATGAATGGTCGTCATAAACAGGTTAGAACTAACTGAATAAGGCCTTGTGTAGTCCTGTGTGCTGAACTTCAGCTGTATCAAACGTTTTTGTCTCATTGACGTGTTAGGTAAACTTACAATTTTAACAAGATGTAATTGAATTAGGAATATCTTATAGTGTACAATCTACGGTTAATCATTGTGAATTCCTTGACATGTGCTAGTTTTGATAATTATGAAACGTAAATGATTTATTCCGATGTGTGTACCGGAGGAACTCGATACAGTCCGGATCGTTAGGTACATCACATGTTTGATAAACTGGACCCACATGTAATCCTTTACAAATATTTGGCCAGTGGTCTCATCAGACCTGTATATAACCTGTCCACATTCCAGTCTGGCCAATATGAGTGTCACACACTGGTGTGAAGATACCCCTATCGACAATATGTCAGATGAAATATGTCAGAAACACTCGCTGAAGGACACATGCGGTAAGCTATGCTATCGCGAGAATTCAGTGTGAATATGTAAGTGCGTGGTAAAACCGTCATATAGCTTTATGTTTAGAAGTGACATCATCGACTACTTTCTATATGAATTGTAACTAACTATAAACATGTCATCATTAAGTAAACTTTTCTGAATAATATATACTTTGACATAGCCCTGTATCTGTTCTATGTGAGAATCAAAATCAAATATCACAAATTATAGATATAAAGGGAATATAGGTAGATAAAAAACTACCTATTGATGTAATGAATTAGAAATTATGGTTAAATTTTATGATTTACCCTCTTTTTCAATTTGTGATGTTCTTTTTTTAGTTGTCTGCAAGATTCCCGGTGACGTTTTTTGTATCAATTTTGAGTTCCGTTTAAACTTTCAGTATCGATTGTGACGTCCATACCGATTTTGAATTCCAATATCGTTCTTGTACGCTGACGCAGCGGTTTATATATTTTTCTCAACTTTTTATCGAGTTCCTGCGCGTTTAAGACAGAACTGTCCAGGGTAAGAAAAGGGTTGAATACATTCTATCTTACACCCCATTTTACGTGCGTGGCGTAACAGCGGGTTTATAATGAAGTGACGTCAGGAAATCGGGAACACTCAGACGCAACGATGCGAAAATTGCGACAGTTTCGTGGGTTTTGAGATAATTCTGATGATGAGAAAGAGAGAAAAATAACCCTTCATATTTATGGATGTGGAATAGGGAAATGTTTACAAATTGGGCAAAACCCTGACAAGCCTCTGGTTTTCACAAAATTTGAACACCCCTTGGTTGGAGTTCCCCTATCTTACTTTCCTGGGCATGTTGTATGTTGCTGCTCTCTCGATTTATTCGATCTATTGAAAATAGTTTTGGATTGAATAAGGCATGGATTGTAAACGGTGTTTTTTTCCATAGGAATTCAAAAACATTGGCAATCTTTGTCGGGGTAAATAACCCGCTATGTAACCTACACCGCTTCAGTTTGTTTTGGATTACAAATCTAGTTTATAGGTTCATAAATAAGATTAAGATAATTCCATGTTCATTTCAACAATGGCAGATGTTGACATTCAGACAATTTACTCACTATACTGGTGAAGTTATTTCTAAAATCGCATTTCCTTCAACAGAAAGGTCGAAGATAATCACATTTCGATAATACTTAGCAACCACGTTTAGGACGTAGCGTACACGATCGTGTTTGCCTCTGACCTGTCAAACACCAGCAGACCTACTTGTTAGTACTGAAGTTAAATGCTATACTGTTTGTATCTTCAGCTGAAATTATAGACTTATCAAGCTAATTGAACAACGTATATACAAATGACACAATTAAAAGTGAACGCGTTAACTTCCATGCTATTGTTTAATTGACGGTATTTATATATTTTCTTTAATAAACGTATTTCAATCTATGGAAAATAAGGTTTGCACCGTAGATAGTAATCCTTTTGTTGTCCTAAGTGGTCAAATATTCGGACGATACATTACAACTTAATTTATTGGAATGCGTATCAAATTACTAACACCATAAGCATTAAATATGGCCGAAAGTAACACTTACCATAGGTGACGTAATCAAATAAATGAAACGACGTTCATACGACTTGTTCAACGGTTAAAAAAAGGACGTTCATACGGCTTATTATATGAATAAGAATTGACGACGTTCACACTCCCGGCGGTATGGATAAAACATAAGTACGTTCACACGGCTTGTTGTATATATAAGAATTAACGACGTTCATACACCCGGCGGTATGGATAAAACATAAGTACGTTCATACGGCTTATTGTATGGATAAGTATAAACGACGTCCATACTCCCGGCGGTATGGATAAAACATGGGTACGTTCATACCGCTTATTGTATAAATAAGAATTAACAACGTTCATACTCTCGGCGGTATGGATAAAACATAGGTACGTTCATACGGCTTATTGTATGGATAAGTATAAACGACGTCCATACTCCCGGCTGTATGAATAAAACATAAGGGCGTTCAAACGAACGTTTTTACGACGTGTATACGTCCGGTTGTATGGATAAGTATTAACGACGTTCATACTCTCGGTTGTATGGATAAAACATAGGTACGTTCACACGGTTTATTGTATATATAAGAATTAACGACGTTCATACTCCCGGCGGTATGGATACAAAATAAGTACGTTCATATTGCTTATTGTATGGATAAGTATTAACGACGTCCATACTCCCGGCTGCATGAATAAAACATAACGAACGTTTTACGACGTGTATACGTCCGGTTGTATGGATAAGTATTAACGACGTTCATACTCTCGGTTGTATGGATATGTATGATACCGTTTATACTGGATAAGAATTAACGACGTTAATACGACTGGATAAGTATATAAAGACGTACATTAACAGGATTGCACCTGGTTATATGGATGTTACACCCTGGTTATATGAATGTTACACCTGGTTATATGAATGTTGTACCTGGTTATATGAATATTAAACCTGGTTATATGAATGTTACACCTGGTTATATGAATATTAAACCTGGTTATATGAATGTTAGACCTGGTTATATGAATATTACACCTGGTTATACGAATGTTACACCTGGTTATATGAATGTTACACACTGGTTATATGAATGTTACACCTGTTATATGAATGTTACACCTGGTTATATGAATGTTGTACCTGGTTATATGAATGTTACACCTGGTTATATGAATATTACACCTGGTTATATGCATGTTATATCTGGTTATATGAATGTTACACCTGGTTATATGAATGTTACACCTGGTTATATGAATATTACACCTGGTTATACGAATGTTACACCTGGTTATATGGATGTTGTACCTGGTTATACGAATGTTACACCTGGTTACAATACTCTCTGTGAGTACAGAATATGCGCTTTATGATAAAAATTATGATGAGAAATAGTTTAAGCATAGAAAATGACCGGACATTGTACAAACAAGGAAAGGGCAGACTGAATGTTGAGCTAACAACAAGTAATATAATTATGATAAACGCTATAATTTTTTGTTCTTGGATTTGAGAAAGGATATTAAAATAAATGCAGTTAATACATACCTGGAGACCTCCGATGTGTTGGTTGCCTCTACACTGTCTCCGCCCTCTGTACCAGATGGACAGCGTCTGTGTAATCTTACTTTAGGCTCACACCTGGTCCCACGTGCTGACAATGCATTGGTACTGGTGTGTCGCCGCGTCAATGACAGAGGCTCAAAATGCTTGTCATTGCGGTGTGGACACTTGGAGAAAAATAAACATCAGGCTATATTTTCTTTTTCGTGTAAACGTTTTTCTGATCTAGTTTGGAATTCAGTGTCAATTTCCAATAGACAAGCGCAGTGATGACCCAGAGGAGGCCTGGGTGGTGACTTTCTGTTATCATTTGTTTCACGGTTTGCAAACAAACACTTGGACGATCTGGTAGTAGAATAGGCAGAGATGACAGCGACGCTGACCGACACACTGGACTGTAATGTAACAAAAAGCCAATATAATAAGCACGTGTTCTATTTATTGTTGTCTGTTTTGTAATGGTAGAATATCAAAATAACACACTACACAGCGCATCAACTACAGTAAACAGTGTGTGTCGGTAGCTGTGCAGCTTTGGTTTCGCCAGTAGTGTTTTGGGGGTCAGGATATACTTTTTTTAATATTTTTTTTACCTCGAATCATGTTGTTGTTATTATTTGTTTGATGCGAAAAGACAACAACAGTTACTGAATAAACAAAGACATGATGACATTAAACTTGAGACGTAACAAGGTTCAATACACAAACGCGCTAAATTCCCAAATTTTCCTATATTTGTTCATATCCAATTTCGTAAACTTAACAGACCGTTATCAATCTTATAAAGCTTAGAGTACAGAGGTTTCAACATTATTTGTGTGTTTTATATGCTTACTAGTTTACAATAAACACCTGTTTATCTATCTATGTGAACGAGTAAATGATGAATATTCATTTATCAGTATATGTGTACGAGAAATGATTAACACTTGTTTTTTTGTAAATACACAAGCATATTCATTAAGGGCAAAATCGCTTGCCATCCTTAGAAATATGATATTAAAAGACAAACAAAAGCACATTTGTTCCTTTGTCTTTTCGAGAAAAATAATCATTGGTGATCAGCTATAAAGTAGAACAAATGTCTCCTATTTACAAATGTTCGTGATTGCCAGTATCTGTCGACCTCAAATAACAACCTCTGGCATATGACTGAGCAATCTCCGTGTTTAACTTTCAAATTCCTTGGATTTATACATTCTGATAAAAGCGGCCTCCGAGCTTTGCTCTGACACGTGTAATCCCTTTTATCATTGATTTAAGCTTTTTGATTCAGGTAAAATTTGACTGTCTTCTTCTCTATATGCATACACTTCCGAGCAGAGGGTTCCGTTAGAGATAGACTAGACGTGATAATAGGGAGTAAGTATATAGCTAGCTAGGTGACACGGGTTTATCAAATGTAGATACAATCAGAGGAAACATACCCGCTCGCTAGGTTTACTATATTGCGTGTGTGACGATTTAGTATTGATTCACCGAGAAGTTCATTTATTTCGTGGTAATTATTCGCCGACGTGGATTGGTACGCATCAACTCCTTCGTGGTCAAGTACTTTTAATGTAGAATATTGAGTAAATCACCATTAAAGCATACTTGTATAAAAATTACATGATACATACAATAGAATACACATATCACAGCGTCAATATACAAAAACATCATGACTCCATATCAATATGATAAAATAATAATCACAGAGTTGACACCAAAGCAATATGAATAAAATTTATTTCAAGAAAAAGAATTAAGCATATCATATTTTAAAATGTAATTATCAAAAATGTTATTTAAAAAACACCCAATTGTATTTTAGTTAATTACTGAAAAGCGACTTTCATATTGCAATGATTTGAAATCAACATCTGTGACTCTGCTGTTAAATAAAAATCACTTGTTAATTTTGAATCAGGATACACATTCATTACGTCAAGAGTTTCCTTTACCAGATTAGCGCAATTGCCGAAACTTAAAGATCGTGAGTTAACACGAGTAAACTAATGTTTTCATTTGTAAGGAAATTATATCCTTTCTTTTACCTTCATCATCCACACACTAAACTTTCAATAGGTGTTTTATTACTTCTATAGTGTATTTCTAATGTACTTTTTATCAACGATATGTTTATGAATATGAAAATAGAATACAACACTACGTGAACAGAAGTGTTTAGCGTCATGCACAGGTAGATGTATCCCCCTTCCGTTACTGTTATATCACAATC